CCCAAGACGCGGCCACCCTTCCTCAGTGACAAGGCCATGGAGTCCTCCGTCAAGTTCATCAACAAGAAGTTTCCTCACTTGGACGTGCGGAGCAGCACGGTGAAGGACCGGGGTGTCCCCTCTGTCCCCAACCCCCTGTGCCTCCCCATCCCATGTCAGCCCTACCTGGACGTCAGCTCTGTCCCCAACCCCGTGTCACCCCACCTCCAGTGTCCTCACCATCCCCACCCTGCGTTGTCCCACCATCTGGTGTCCACACTGTCCCCCACGTGTCACCCTGGTCCGTGTCACCTCACCTTGTGTCACCACCACCTGGCTTCCCCTCCATCCCTCTCCCTTGGTCATCCTGCTGCTCCTTGCTCCCATGTCACCCCACCCCGGGTGTCCCCCCTGTGTCACCCCACCCTGAGCGTTCCCTTTGTCCCTTTGCAGCAACACTTGGGACCAGTGCACAAGGACAAGGGGGACATCACCCGGGCGTTGGGACCCTTCTACCAGTCCTTCCTGGATGTCCTGGAGTTCAGGGTGAGCCGGGGTGTGTGGCGGGGGGCAGAGCAGGGTGCTTGGCGGGCAGCGGTGGTCAGACCTTGGCAGGGACAGCAGTGACCCAGCCCCTTGTCCCCTCCCTGCCAGGACCACGTCTACGAGTTGCTGAACACCATCGACGCTAGCCAGTGCTTCTTTGACATCGTGAGTGGAGCGTGGGGGGTACCTGGGGGGTATTTTGAGGGTGTCACGGCTGTGCCCACGTGCTCACAGCTGTCCCCTCCCCAGCACATCAACTACGACTTCACCAAGAGCTACCTGGACCTGGTTGTCACCTACGTGTCCCTCGTCCTGCTGCTGGCCCGCACTGAGGACCGCCGGTTGCTCATCGGCATGTACCACTGCGCCCACGAGATGAGCCACGGCACCAGGTGGGTCGGAAGTTCCCACCGAGGCTGTCCCCACAGACTGTCCCCGCTGGGGCTGGCCCTGAGGACCATCCCTGACCCCCATGCCAGCAGTGCCCCCAGCTTCACCCGCCTGGGACAGATGGTGCTGGAGTATGACCACCCCCTCAAGAAGCTGACGGAGGAATTTGGGCCGCACACCAAGGTGGGACGGGAGCTCCTGAGGGTCCTGTGAGCCAGCAGGGCTGCATCCTGCCCCGATCCACCCCATGGCCACCCCTTGATGTCCCCCTGTCCCCCAGGCTGTCACCAGCGCCCTCCTGTCCCTCCATTTCCTCTTCGCCCGGAGGAACCAGGGGGCCGAGCAGTGGCGCAGCGACCAGCTCCTCAGCCTGCTCAGCAC